GGTGAAAATTTCATGTCATTAGCACCTCTAGTAATATATTTACTGAGAAAAATGGTGACGTGTTCAATACTTATTTTACCCGCTGTATATGTGTTTTAGCCACTAAGGAGAGGTGTGATTTATCAAGAGCAGATGATAAATCACTCAACAGACCTCTAAAAAATGTGTCCCCTCTCTTCTGAGATGATGGTTACACCCTTGAGTGAAGGCACCAGCAAAATATCTGGTTTTCTCCTGCTTTTGTTAAACTGTCTGTTGGAGCTCTTTAGCTGTACAGAGAGGCTGCCTATCACTGTGAATGTGAGTTGAGATCTTCTCCTCATTGGTCAGTCAGCATGAGGCGGGTCAGGTGACTGAGAGGGTTGCCTAATGTCAAGCGTTGCTTTTGTGTAAATGGAGGACACTTCCCTCGATCTCAATGTAGTGGGTCATGTTTACCAGATTATACTAACGTGTTTTGTTTTTATAGCATCATGTGAAGGAGTGTCCTTGACAAGAGAACATAATAGTGTATTTGTTGTTCTATGAGCATTTGTACATCAAAATACCCTTAGAATTTGAAGTATTGAGTATATTTACTAAATATTGCAATAATTTACTCTGTATTTTGCCAGACTGGTAATGCTGGGGTTGTGATGATGGGGCCCTTGAATATTGTTGCCCAGGGTACAGGGAAGTGTTAATCCAGCCCTGGGGCAGCTGKAAGTACTGTGATTCGTGTTGATGTATTTTATCATACCTGCTGAGGTTCTGGACTTTGTGCCATGACAGTTTGGACTCCAGCTGTCGATGTGCCAGAGCAATAACCCTGAAGCCCTGCCTCGTGTAGCTCTCCAGAGTCTCTGTGAAACTCTGTGGGACTGAAGGGAAGGACAGTGACACCTGAGGACAAGCACACCTGGGCGTGCTGCACCTTGTTTCAAAGTTTCAGAAGAATAAACGTCTGACCTGTGAGCGGTTTGCAAAGGCCGACAACTACCTCCGGGGCCCCCTTCAGGAAGGCTTCCATGTGCTTCTCCCCCAACCTCCTGACCACCACACTCATCCTCTGTAGCACCGAAGAGAAGGGGAACTGACGCACAATCCCGATCTCATAGGACTGTGGAGCAAAAATCCCAAACTGATGCAAACTGTTTCTACAAAGTGTTTCAGCTCTTAATAAAATCTGTGAACGTTTCTCACAGCAGGTGAAAAGTTTGAGTATTTTCACACACATTTGGTTTTCATACATYCTGATATTCAACCTGGAGTACACAATCTGTTACACAACCTGTACAAATAAAAGTTAAATAAATAAAATACATACACAAGGTTTGCTTCTTTTAAACTAAGCTTCTTTCCTAACATTTCAAACCTAACATTCCCAGAATCTGGTTTCTTGGTAAAAAAAAAAAAAAAGGTGCTGACTGATTCTTTAGACTGAGTTGCATTTGAAATGTTGTGGGTAAATGGAAGGCCGGCCCCTGGCATAGGCAGTTTAGGCAAATGCTAAAGGTGCCATCCATCTAGTGGCAACTTGGAACCTGTTTTTCAGCTGTTTTGTTCCTACATGAGGTGTCATATGGTGAATTAAAGTATCAGATGATGTATTATTCAGTGTGTTAATAGAAAACAAAAGAACAATAACAGAAGTTTCAGTTCTGATCTCAGACTACTCAGTTCTACTTTTAGAAAATACTGATTTTATGTTTTATTAATCCCAAGAATTTAATAAAAGACTCTTCAAATATCTGGAAAATGCAGTTTATAGTAGATCTTTTAAAAAATTATCTAGGTAAGTATACCCTTGAACCCCCCTAGAACTCCTTCACTCCACAGCTGCTGGTTAATATGAACAGGTGTTCCTCATTATGTCAGCAGATGTTGGCAGGTATGAGGCAAAAGATACACTACTCACAAAAAGTTAGGGATATTTGGCTTTCAGGTAAATTTTATAGAAAATGTAAAAAGTTCACGCTACAGTGATATCATATATGAAAGTGGGCCATTTACCATATTTTTCGGACTATAAGCCGCAACTTTTTTCCTGAACTTTGAACCATGCGGCTTATAGTCCGGTGCGGCTTATATGTGGATTTTTTTCTTCAGCCACCATGGGGCTCTTATGCTCCATTTGCTTCAACCACTCGATTCAAAAAAAGAAGAAAAAGAAGAAAAAAAAGAAAAAAGCGATCCTTCCAGAGCCGACTGTTGACCAGGAAGCAGCAATTTAAAGATAGTCAATGGCCAAAAACTCATAAAAGGGGATAAAACTGACATTTTTCACGGTGGAATCTGACTGATAAAAACTTTGGAGCTTAATCCAGGACCAGTTTGTGGATAAATGTCGAGTGAAGAGCTGCTGACTTTTTTTTCTGCATTGCACTCCCCGGGGAAGGAATCCCATGCAGTGACGTACGCTGGAGGGGGAGGGCTTTCCCAGCAGCTGACTGACKTGGATAAATCATTCACAAAAACTGGCCGAATGCGAAGAGCGACATTTCCTGATGTCTGCCAGTGGATCCTAACAGCGTGGAGCAGAGTGAACGAGTCCACCATCACAAATGGGTTCCGAAAGGCTGGACTGCTATGTGAAGCGGGCACCACAGCTTCAGAGCCAGCCCGAGAGGACAGCGACACAGAAACTGAACAGGTACCGATGTGTGACGCAGCTTGTTTAACTCTGACACTGAAGACGAGGATTTTGACGGTTTCAGTGTGCCGGAGGACGATGAATGAGACTTTTTGTTGGACCAGAAACGGTTAAAGAAAACGACCAAAATAAGGCCAGTTAAATGAACCGTATTCCTCCGAACTTTACCGGTAATTTCTAAAGGTTTGCTTTTTATGTTTTAATTCCAGACCTCTCGCCTTTTTTTCCGGAGAGTTTTTTATTATTATTATTATTATTATTATTTTGTACCGATGTACTTGCCAACCTTTTTCTTAAAAATAAATGTGATGTTGAATTCACTTTTTTGACCACAATTTTGGGTGTACTGTTTTGTTTTTGTTTTTACTGATGGGGGGTGGGGGGTGCGGCTGTTTTTGTTTTTACTGTTGGGGGGTGGAAGGTGTGGCTGTTTTTGTTTTTACTGATGGGGGTGCGGAGTGCGGCTTATAGTCCGGTGCGGCTTACTGTATATGTTGATGTTTGCGCGTTTTTTTTTTAAAATGGCGGGTGCAGCTTATAGTCCGAAAAATACGGTAAGTAAAAGAATGCACTGGTGATTTCCTCATCTCAAACAATTTATTGAAACAAAAATTAACAACAATGGTGGGTACACCACAACAAAAAAATTCAACGTCTCAATAACTTGTCATGTGCCTTTGAGAATCAATTTCAGCTTGACAATGACATCTCATGCTGTTCACAAGTGTACTTATTGTCTGCTGGGGCATGGCATCCCACTCTTCTTGAAGGGTAGCCCTCAGGTCTTTGAGGTTCTGGGGTGCAGAGTTTCGAGCAAGTACAAGGCAACTCAGCTGATCCCACAGGTTTTCAATTGGATTCAGGTCTGGAGAAAGTGCAGGCCATTTCATTTGAGGTACACCAGTCTCCAATAGCTGTTCCCTGATGATGCGACCTCGATGAGCTGGAGCATTGTTGTCCATGAGGATGAAATCAGGCCTGTGTTGTTCATGTAGGGGCACAATCACTGGATTAATGATGTAATTCAGGTAGTATGGGCTTGTCACTGTACCATTCACAAAGTGTATGGCAGTTCTGTACCGACTGGAGACACCTGYCCACACTGTAACACCGCCACCACCAAAAGCTTGTCTGGTGACAACAGTGGCTGATGCTAATCCTTGACGTCGCCAACATCGCTGGCGGCCATCATTTCTGCTCAGTGTGAATCGACTTTCATCAGAGAATAGCACTGAGTCCCACTGGTCCCTCGTTCAGCGTAAATGCACCCTGGCCCATGCAAGACAATGACGCCTGTGTCTGGTACCCTTGCAGCTCGTCTAGCACGCAGACCACGCTGATGGTAAAATGGTTTCGAATGGTCTGACATGACACTTGGGTGCCTCTCACCTCCCTTAACTGTGCCTGGAGTTGAGAGGCATTCATTATCTGGTTTCTCAGGGCATTGTTCACAACGTAGCGGTCATCAGCATGGGATGTGGTCAAAGGATGTCCACTTCTACACCTTTCTGTGACTCTTCCAGTCTCTCGGTATCTCTGTTGCAACCTGCTAATGACACTCTAAGCTCAGTGGCCACATCTGTCTGAGAACGTCCTGTTTGAAGCATCCCAATGGCAAGGTACTGTTGATCCATTGTTAGGTGTTGTCTTGGTCTCATGATGTCAAAAAGTGAACAGCATGATGGGGACGATTGTTTAAAAATCAGCTTTAATTGAACCAGGACATTTATTGGTCGATTCAACGATCAATCACCTGTTGTGAATTTTGCCGTTAAGCTCCTCGTTAGAAAACAGCAACTTGTGCAAAAAGAACTGAAACATTGAACAGTTGGATATATGCATTCAAAAGCTTAGAGAAGGTCACATTAAGTTCACCTGTAAAGGTTTAAATGCATTTTAGGCTCGTCCTGAAATTTCACCCAAAAGCCAAATATCCCTAACTTTTTGTGAGTACTGTATTCTGTTTCAAATGAATTACATTGTTAATTGTTTTAATTGGACAACCTGGTTTCTAAAGATAAAAAAATATCAAAGACAAACTATTTAATTTGATGTGAATTGTTCTAAATAGGCAGTGAGATTTAGAAAACTGCACAAGATGCGCCACACACTCCAACACCTGAAATCTTGCCTAGGGTCAGTCCTGGGTAAATGTGAAAAATATGGACTGAATAAAATATGATTTGAATTGTAACTCGTTCCAGTGTCCTGAGATGAGTTTAGTTGTGATATTGTGGGTTATATAAGTAAATAGCAGTGAACTGTACCATCGCTGTACCTGGTTATGGACTTGTTGGTTCTGATTGGCTTCGGTGACTTTGGGCTTTGGAGGTCGAACAACAGTGGGCATTAACGGATTGTGAAGAGCAGTCTCTTCCTCTGTTGGCTCTTCTAATATCTAAACAAAAACAAAACTGCAGAATAATACTCAGTGATACGTTCAGTCATCAGGCAGACTCACACCATGATGTCGTCTAATCCATTAGTACAAAACTTGTTTTGTTAAGAGGCTAAAGACACTAAACCCATCTGTTCTCACCCAGCCTGTAGCCACAAACATCTTGAGGTCTAAGGGGTCTCCAGAGAGCTCCCCGTCTATGTTGGTCAGTGAGTGGCAGGTTGCCATACAGGCTACAAACAGAGTGTTTACCAGATGGCCCTCGGTTGCTTCTTGCTCTGGTGGAGAAAAACTGTAATGAAGATGAAAGATAAAAAATAGAAACACTTGAGTTGAAACTAGAAAGAAGAGTTTTATAAACAACACGAGTTCCATAAAATACATCATATGTTCATTTAATCCAGTTTATGAGGTGTAATATCAGTAGAGTAAATTCTAAATAAAGTCTTTCAGCTGATCCTTTGAGGGGTCGCCACAAAGAATCTTTTGCCTTCATCTCATCATCACCCTCTGTCACTTCAACACTCAGCTACCCTCCTTTATGACATCTATTAAGAGTTTATGTGCTCTTTCTTCATCCTTTACTCCCTGGCAACTTCATATTCCCCATTCTTTGCCCAATAAATCCACTTTCCCTCCTCTGCATGTGTCCACACCGTCTCAGCATCATCTCTCTGACTTTGGCTGTCCCAATTTGTAGACACCTACTCACGTGTCTGACAAAACCCAAAAAAAGTCGGGTGCATCTGAGTATACTACGCAGCAGATGGTATCCCAGAATTTATTGTACAGTCAGCAAATTAAACACAAAAACAAAATGATGGTGGACTTTTTCTTATTTTATGGCTTGAGTGTGTTTTTTTTTTTTTACATGGAGTTTGGA